GCCATTGTAGATTGTAACGCTTGGTTCAAAACAGGAAAATCGATGAAAGCCCTGGTTTCAATGAAGCGTGTGTCTGTGTAATGTGAGACGAAGTGCATCTCTGATAGATGTGCTGAAGGGGAGATGCACTCTGAGGTCAAAAGGCAGAGAGCGTTGGTGAAGGATGGCTGTCAGGAGGAGACATGGTTTATGAGCCAAACAGGAAGTGTCTATAGTCTCAAATAGCGTCTGATTTAGCCCAGTATTGTTGTGGTCTATAATATATAATTGAGAGTAAATCAGCTTTTGTTTATGTAAATATTTTTATGGCAAAGTTTAACATACAAAAAGTGAAAAGAAAGACATTTTAAAGCAACTTCACTAGTTTTATGTATAAATTACTTATGATGAAGCCCTCTCAGATCTCCCCAATGAATATGTTTGGCTCACAGCACCCTTGACATTGAATCCCACTATAAACTAGAAAGACAGAACAAACAAAAACAATAATGAACTTGCTTAACAAACTAATGGACATGAGAAAAATACCACTAACTAATTTGACACAACTTGGTCCTCATTCTTAGTATTCATGCAAAGCTGATTCTTCTGAAAACTAAAACTAGTCATTCCAGGTTTCTGTTGTTGTTTGTCAGTATGTAAATTGAAAAAAATAGAATAGAGTAGAATAGAATAGAATAGAATAAATGTTGCAGCCTCAAGTTTTGCTAAATCAAATCCACAACCATTTTCTTCGAGAGCACGTTGTCACATTATTTACGACGCCACGCTCCAACAGGCTAGTGTTTCGTTTTGCCCCGGAGGAGCGGCAAAAGCACCTGACAGACTAGTCTCAGGTGTACGCTGGTAACATTAGCCCTTTTTATACTTTGGTGTTAAACAGGGCTTGTTGTTGTAGCTCGGGCCCAGTTACATCACAGGACACAGAAGAGTGCGCCACAGTGGAACCACTAATCCCCTCCCGGACCCTTGACCCCCGCGGTATAGGCCTCCACCATTGGCTTTGTTATCCTTCAGAGCTGATGCTATCTAATCAGATGAATGGCTTTCATCGTTTACCTTTACTAATCTATAGAAGTCGCGTCAAAAGGAAAATGTATCACGCTGGATGGTAAATCAAAGTACTTTCTGTAATCAAATTCGTGGGTGAAATTTACTTTGGTCCCCAGCTCGCCTCGCCTTCACCCCGGCTTGTATATTATGCTCTCCTTCATGTCCGCAAGCTCCAGACTAGTTGTAATACTTCTCACTGTCTGTGTAAGCAAGTCTATTGCAAACATAAATCCTGACTTGAAAGCGGCTATCTTTTCTTTCTTTCTTTCTTTTTTTACTAGCACATACCGTACAACTCAATTACGTAGGTAAGACTTGTTAGCCCAAAACTGTATGTATCGTGAGTGTGTAGGCTGTATCTGTTGGATCTTGTGTGTGGTCAAGCTTCATTTGTGCTGTACATTGCCTACACCCCCTAATCCTCTCTTCAGACCACTACAAAGGACAGTAAATGTGTTGGCTACAGGATAGAGATCGGTTGTGACAGAGTAATGCACACTACTTAGCTGAAGATTAGCTTTTTAAGACGGTTTTATTCATGTTCAGGCTTCTTCATTTGTCATTGAAGGAACGTGTACGCCAGCTATAGTCATGCTTAAAAATATATCATTCTCAAATGTTCAGATTATTGTAAAACTATAATCAAAATCTCTAAATTTCTGATCTTCTTAAATGCCACTGCTTAGATATGCCCCGAGTTTCGTTGAGAGTGAGGAATGATACTGACAGCCCAAGGCCCATATAATCACTCTAAAAAAACGGCTTCACCTTTGGCAAAGCGACAGGTGGACAACAACAATGGAAAAACAACATTCAAGCGTCATTACCTCATACAGATGCTGCACATACTTTCATGCAATCCAGACATTGCTCAGAAGTTCAGCAGCATTTATCCTTCTGCTCCTCTCCAGCGCTACCATTTAAGTAATCTTTTCATCCTCAGATAGTCCACACAAGTCCTGGTCCGCCTTTCTGATTCTCTCTTGACCCTTTTGTCATGTCGACGGATAACCCCTCAGGATTATGGGTAACGCGGTCCAGCTGTTGTAAGGACAGTGCTGACAGTGGAAAAGAGATGTGGGGGCATATTGCCGGTTTGGAGTCATGGTTGAAGCCGGGAGAAATACATTTTGTGAAGAATCAATTGTGGTGAAGTTGAGTGACAGCTTGGCATATACAAAATAGTGGGCCTACTTTAATGTTATCTTGTTTATTATAGAATTACGCCATTTTTGTGCCATTTATGCTTAATGTACTCTGTACCAAAGCGTAATCTAATACTCAAACCTCTTATGAACACAAAACAATCCGCCATAAACGTTTCCTCCACTGTATTCTCAAAGTATTATAGCACTTTAACCACTTGTTGAAGGGTCCATTAGTACAGATCTCTTTCCAGCTTTACATTATTTTAAAGGTTTCTCTCTTGGTGGGAACCGTCCATGCCTTTTGTGTGTTTTGGCTCGTGCCCCCTCTGGTCTTCCGGCTGCTGTTGGGAGTTCTCAGAGTTCATAGTAACCTGTGCCTCCTCTGTGTTCTGGCCCCATAATTCTCAATCCCCCTCTGCTATCCTCAGCCTCTTGGTTTTGGCCTTGAGCTCTGAAGATAAGGGCTCTTGACGCTTGGCCTGCTGGGATTTAATTGCCGGAGCCTACATCGCCCCCCTCTTAGCTGTGCCTTATACCCAATTCTGCACCCTATACCTACACAATGCTTTTGTCTGCATTTCTATTCATTTTTGTCTGTTTTTGGATCTGATTTTTCATATTCACCGCCCATTTTCTAGGGTTGCGCGAAAACTTTCCCAGGCTTGAGTTTTCTCCTACCGTTTTTGGCCCTCGGGTTATTCCACGTTTTCAACTGCCAATGCTTTTATTTGAGAAATCCAACAAAGCGGAAAGAAAAACACAGATGTAATACTAATCAGAATACTTGTACTTATTCCTATAAAAGCCTCATCATTCATCAAATGCACTAGATCTTTGTGAAGCTCCCTGAAATGTTTTGCTAATCTCGATGAGACGGATGGGTCTTTCAAACTCAGCTGCTGCCTGTCTGAGGAATGTCTCAACAAGTGTGGAAAGGAGAAAAAAGGAAATTACAAGTCAAGCAACTGAGAAAAGTTTGATAGAAGGGTATTTCAGCAGAAGATTGAACTGGGAGAACAAAACCATAATTCCAACTAACAGCCAATTAGTCTTACTATTAAGGAGATTTGCAGTTCAATGGAAAAAACTACTTCAGTCGTAAAGATGTATAAGAAGAGTAACCTTTTATACTGACTACTTTGCATATTCTTTAAACATAATACTGTACATAGCCAAAGCATCATTTAAGGAAGAGTGACATCCTTATCTTCTACAGATAAGCCATGTGCAAATCACAGCAGGGCAGACAAAAAACCCACACAAAAATGCAATGTTTTTATCTGTAACCTGGCAGCGCGGTCCCTCCCCCTCCCTGTGCACCTCCAACACAGTTTCTCCTTCTGTGAGCTATCTGATGTGCCTGGCCCAGTTCGGAATGAGGCACACTCCAAATAAACACCCTGCAGAGCATTCACCACACACATTACATTCTCGGGAAAAAAATGTGTGCATTTTGTTAGCCTAATACTCTCCTCGAACATGCCGCTATGTTGCCATGTATTAAGGCCTTTGACCGTGGATGTATTACATTATCTGGAGAGGGTATTGCTATCTTAAACTCGTCTCCCACATGGACTAGGGGTCACCCACGGCACTGCAGTTTAAATTCACATGGGTTGTATAGGAGATTTCCCACATAGACCTCAAAATCAACTAAAGAAGCTGGCCCTCAGCTGACAGGGATCCTACGGCTTTCTCAAAGGTCGGACTTTGAGGGGATTTTAGTGTCCCTTGTCATCCTGAACTTTTTATTTTTTCCCAAGAGACCCGAGACTTGCTTTGAACACTGATTAAGTAATGTTTCTCTGTCTCCAAAAATAATGTGATTGAATATTAAGAGAGGAAAAATATGTACTCCCCTTATAAAAACAATTTTCTCTGGCAGGCCTGTCTTGATGTCACCGACCAAATTAATTCGAAAAGGATTTGGATTATATTACAATATTATAATTAATTTACAAGCCATATCTTGTCTTCAGTGTACTTGTTGTTATTTGAATCTAGATTAACTTCACACAGATTTGCATATTCGTGACAAACTGTTTTTGTGGAGTACTTTTGTATGTAAAAACAATTCTCAAAACAAGACAAAAATTGTTGAGACATAAAGATAAAGCCTTACCGTCTCGCCAAACTGAAAATGATAAATGGCCTCCCTGACATCTCAGACGCTAGCATTCTTTTCATCTCCATTCTTTCCCTGCTTTTTACAAATCCACTCTTTTCCCTCCTCTCTTCAACTATGTAGAATATCCAGCCATGAATACTTTCTGTCAGTATGCATAATAACGTTGAAAGTTCCCTTTGTTTACGTTATGTGACCGAAGCCTCCACAAAGTAATTCAGTCGCAATCCACAGATAAACAGCTGCTCAAAGTTGGTACAAATATTGCAACCTAAACACCACAATTGTGTTTACACTAAATGGTTTTAAGGGATTGGGTGACTTTTAAGATATGTGAAATGTGCTAACAAAAAGACAGCTGTAAGTCAGTGAACAACGCTGAAGACGTAATTGAAGCGTAAAATGGATAAGTGAGCGAGCTGCAAAAGTGGTTTCCCTCATTCTTGATACCTTAATCAGCTTTTATTGTAAATATTTACTGTCTACTAAACTAACAAATGTACATTGTTTACTACGATGTCTACTAGATACATTTTCAACATTTTTGGATTTACACTCATATGGCAAATCATCATTATTGACCTGTTATAATGTTGTGTCTGTTTTATAATATAACTTTTCAATAACCATCTATCTCTCTCTTTGTTCTAGGCTGTGCAGGGAGGGTCTGCACCATGACGGGCTTTCTCACTCCCCTGATGCCCCTTCTCCTCGTCCTGCTACATCCGGACGCCAGCTTCTCCAGCTCCTGCCCCAAAGACTGCACATGCTCCCCCGCGGACTCAACCATGTGCTTTCAGAGGCGCTCCTCTTCCATGCCCACTGGAGTCTCCTCAATCACAAAGAACCTCTATCTTTTCGCTAATGGCATTGAGAGTTTGAACACAGATGACTTTCAAGGTATGGAGAACTTGGAAATGCTCGATCTTAGTCAAAACAAGCTCACTGAACTTCCGGACAGAGTGTTTGAGCCTTTGTCCTCGTTAAAAAACCTTGACTTGTCGTCCAATCAGATATCCTATATATCTGAGAAGTCTTTTCAAGGACTGGCATTGCTAGAGCGCCTGTACATATACAGCAATCACATTAAAACCATCCACCCTACTGCTTTTGATGACATGGAGCACCTTCTTGAGTTAAAGCTACAGGGAAACATGCTAACTGCCATTCCTACACTTGCTTTGCCAAGATTGCTTCTTTTGGACCTTCGTTTCAACCACTTGCCCACCATTGGATCATCAGATATCCAGATGCCCAACCTTGAAGCCCTGAAGCTTGGAGGGGTGGGACTTACAAGCCTTGATGCAGAGTTGATTAGTAACCTGAAAAACCTTCATGAGTTGGACCTCTCTGGAAACCAGCTGGAGACTTTCCCTCCAGTGTTAAAAGAAACCCTTGGACTGATCCACCTCAATCTAGCCAGCAACCCAATGGGTCCTCTAAACATTCAAGACTTAAAAAACCTCATTGAGTTGCAGGAATTGGACATCAGCAGCCTCAGCTTACAAAGTCTCTCTGAGGAATTTTCTCACTATTTTCCCAATCTAAAAAAACTCACAGTTGCAGAGAACCCATTCAACTGCCTGTGCATGCTGGCATGGTTCCCAAGATGGCTGAGGGCACAAAGTGTCACTCTAGAGAGGACGGAGGAGACACGTTGTCACTTTCCACCCATTATTGCAGGAAAGGTGTTAGAGAGACTTGACCATAGAGACTTTGGCTGTCCTCCCACTACTACACTCACCACAACTACAATGAAAACAACAACTTCAAAGCTTGTTGCTGTCACTACGCCCCCCACTTCTACAAGGCCTGCCCTACATCCCGGGGACAGTGAAAAACCAGCTGTAAAAGATAATGACAACCCTCCCTTACCCCCAGTGGTCCCCTCCCCTGGCACCAAGGACGACGCTGAGGAAGAGACACACTTCTGCCCCTCTGACACTTGCCTAAATGGTGGCACCTGCCGCTTAGTTGGAATAGGACAGATAGAGTGCATGTGTCCACGTGGGTTTACAGGTTTATATTGTGAAATGTACACAAAGCCAGCCCCACCACCTGAACGGATGAACCCCCAGCCAACTGTCACTGTGGACACACCTGACATAAGCTCACACCACGCCACTCCAACGTCCATCCTTTTAGATCTTCACCGGTACTTTGAATTAAGGCCCAAGACGCGTGCTATCCGATTGACCTACCGCAATCTGTCTGGACCAGATCGCAGGCCAATGCAACTCAACTTGCCGGCGTCTCACCCAGAATATGTTCTCAGAGGTTTGAAACCCAACTCCACCTATTCAGTCTGTGCCAGTCCCCTTAGTGATCCAAGTGGTACAGACAAGGTGTGCATAGAGGCCCAAACAACTCCGGAGAAGAAATACTACAAACAGACATACCCGGAAAAAGAACTCACCACTATGATAATTCCAGCAGTTGCCATCTTGCTTCTTCTGGTGCTGGTGGCGGTGGTAGTTGGAGTCATGTGCTATCTCCGAAAGAAGAAAGCTAAGGGGCACCTCGAACTGGAGTGTGAGCCCTCTCAGCTCGAGTTAGATGGAGTGAAACCCAGCGTAGACAATGGGGCACTACCACAAAAACAGCCACAGATTATGATTCCTGAACCTGCCGTTCAGAATGGGAATGTGGAGTATGAGGTGTTACTGCTACAAGATCACTGTACATCAAATAACAATATGACATCACACAAGCCATCCTACTTTTGACAAATGCTGGAACTACTCAAGAGTATGAGGACCTCTACTACCTTTTCACACAAGGTGACATCAGTTCACCATCAACTGCTGTGAAAGACCAGTGTCTGGACTGAACACAATAACATATAACTGTCTAAGCAGACATTAAATACTGCCAATAGCTTTCTTCTCTCCTCACAAAATGGACTGTTGAGGCATCAGTAGAGCTGACGGGATGTTGGACAGAGAAGTACTGCTTTAGGCTGAGGATGTATGAATAGCAGACTGAGTTCATGTCTTACGGAGTGCACTAAAGAGGGCTGTGCTGCCTTTTAATGAAAAGCCCATTTTAAGTACTAGCAGGATTATGCTGTGCTGGAACTGTTCAGTACTACCCTAAAGGGAGGAGTGCTTGCTGTGAATATAACACCGAATGAAGTCATGCAGAAAACATTATTGATGCTTGTATCACTTTATTTGGCTATATTGTTCTTTTGTATAGTGTAAAGTTTTGTATTGTTGTATAACTTAATAATTGTTGATTAAACCCACTACCTTCTCCTAATGTAGCTAACACACAGAATGGCAGATTAAAATCTTTGAGGATTAAAACTCATTTGGCATGAGTCAAAGGGCTTTGTATGTAGAATATCAGACAGTCTAAGTCGATATGTCTCGACACTCAAATCTAAATCTTTTTTCACTTTCAAACAGTACTCTGTTTGTACAAAGAGAAAGGTGCAGAAATGACTGATGCTGACTGAACAACTACTATTTCTTTCAATTTAAAACCTTTTTTTCAGCAGTATACACATTGTCTTATTCTTAATTTATTTTTGTATGTGTTTTTTCTCACCCTGCACTTACTGTGACTATGAAAACTTCCCTACATCTAACTTTGGCCCAAGTTTTATTGTAAAGGCAGGCTCTGCAGATCTGAGGATAAGGGCCAGAGCTCTGCTCAATGTAACCTTTTGTGTGTACATGACCTGTAGACACTCCATCTTCAGTGATAATGCACGTTCTGTCTTGTGTATAGACCTCAGACATCAGGTTACCATCAGCCCAGCCCCCACTGCCCCTGTGCCCACATGCCTCAGAGTAAGATTAGGCTGCTAGAACACTTCCAAATGCCAGCCATTTCGCCTTTCACATTAATCTTAGAAATACATGCGACTGGATTTATTGTCTATGTACATACATTGGAGATTTTCAATGTGGCTGTTAATTTTCCCTATTAATTTGGGAAACATCTTACAATTAACTGTTTTTGTACTTGTATTTTGTGACAATTTGTACAAAATGTGATATCATTAAATGAATATCATGATTAAACACAGGTCGGTTGCACTTTTCTTTTTAGGTAAATGTACTGTTATGTTTTTGTGTTGAAAAGATTCAATCAAAGCTGGGGTACTGAACTTGCAAACAACAGCTCTGCAATAAAACCCATCTAACTATTCTTCACTCCCAAAACTACAGTCTTCACATGCATATATGTTTTGACTTCCGTCTCATCTTTAGATTGAGCTTTTTCTGACATTAAATAGAAGAACAATAGAGGACTGCCCTCACTCAGGCGATCTCAGTGAGCCCAAAGAGTGAAATGGTGACTCAAAGGGATCTTTCGTACAAGTATAAAAGATAATATGTTTTCTAATAAGATGAAAGCAGCATTGAGTGGCCTGATTTGTTCACAACATTTTACTTTTACAAGACGTTAGATACCCCATCTTTAAGTCTTGCATGCAGAGTGTTATAAAACCCATCTTTACAAGCTTGTGCACAAACCATCTCGACATAAGTTTATAGCAAACATGAAATCAACACTGTGATAGGAAACATATGTGCAAAGGTGCATTTGTTCATCTGGACAATTTAATAGTCCGATCCTAATGGGAGAGCATTGTTTGCAAAGCCGCACAATAAACAAGCTGACCACCCATGCGTTTTATAGGTAGGATGTTAGTAGGGGATGGAGGAGTATGCACGCACTTCTTGCCCACGCCCATAAGCAAACATGCATAAACTGGCCTGAGGTGCAAGATGTTGTGTGTTGTTCATTGTGCTAGCAACACAAGCACATAAAACAGCAGTGCTCCTGTCATGCAGACCCCATTACAGAAAGTATTTACAGGACAGACAATATCCGAAAAGGAAACCAAAAACACTAAGCACTTTCTTGGCAACAATAGGTTTTACAGCTGAAAGCAACCTCTAAATTGCACAACCAGATCCAGCCTAATAGCCCCATTCTTTTCTCTACACTTTCCTTCAGAGATCCTTCCTTGATTAAACTTCTTGCGACAAAAACAATTTCTGGGTACACGAAAATAACTTTTTTTATCATTTGTCAAATAAAAAACAAGAGATAGGACGTAATAGATGGACTTTAATTGGGAGCATGTGTACCCACTGGAGCTGCTCCAGGTAAAGAGAGAGATCAGATGCACACATGATGTCAGCTAGGAGAAATGCCGGAGACTTTCAAAACGCACACACATAAATGTTTCGGTTTTCGACTGCGGCCGCCATCTGCAAATGTTTGAGCTTTGGAAGGGGTTAACAGTATGTGCGCCTTTCCTTCAATAAAACCCAATAAAACAGTCCTCCTTTTCTCTTGGTGGTTTTAAGAGGAACCTGCTTCCTGAATCAGAGCCAACCTTGATGATATACTTAAAGCTGCCTTCTCGATACGTCCAAATTTAAATCCAAGAGATCTTTATTTCTACACAAAACCAAATAAATCACAATTTTCCTCATATCAAAAGTCTGTTCCAAATATAATATTGGTTGAATATCGAGCCAAGGACACAGCATAAACCCGGCAGCTAAGAGTGTTTTTCTTTTATGACATGATTTGACATTTTTCAGCCTTTTTGGCCTGGCTGACCCCTCCATCACCCCAGACCATATTTCCAACCACAGTCAAGCACATTTACTGTAATCACTCAAGCTGCAGAATTAGCTCCACAAAAGACAAAGCCTCAGACTAACGAGAACATATTGTCACAGTTTAGAATGTGTCCAAAAAAGGAAAGAGACCTCTCAAAAGGATGGATTTTTAGCATGGAGACGCCTATCCTCAGATGTGAGACAATCAGAATTAGCCATCAGCTGCCTGCCTCCATGGGTGACACAGGAATTTAATAAGATCCAGTAAAAAGTTACACTTAGCACCGTAGAATTAAAGGGGTTGTATGTATTCTACACAATTTGTGGTCAAATAAGGTCATTTCAATTGAATACTTTTTCTACCTGTGGCTTGACACATGTTGCTTCTAAACTACAGGGGTTTAGACTTTTGTGACGTGCAATATTTCACAACAAACTAGCAAACCATGGGCGGCATGGTGGCTGAGTGGATAGCACTCTCGCCTCTCAGCAAGAAGGTCCTGGGTTTGAACCCCGGTCGGAACAGGGTCTTTCGGAGTGGGGTTTGCATGTTCTCCCCATGCCTGCGTAGGAATCCTCCGGGTACTCCGGTTTCCCCTACCACTAAAAACATGCTCACTAGGTTAAATCCTCCAGCTCCGGTAGTCCTCACCAAGCCGAGCATCAACATCTGTAGATGGGTACTACGGCCACCACTGCTCTCTGATTGGATAACTTACTTGAAAATCAAACATTATGGGGATTGTGTTCATTGCATTTTTTGTTTATGAATAAATTCACTTTTATTTTTGTTGTTGAAAAAGTCAAATATGATTTATACTTGACTTATCTGGGGACACATAAAATATGTAGATGTAATTTAAAATGAAAATATTACAAACAATAAATAAAATTAAAAGTCTATAAACATTTACTCTAAAATCAGGCCTTGTAAAATGTATGTAAGAATTGTGCAAAATGGCTCGTTAATCATCGAATTAGCGTAAGATAAAGAAAAGAGTGAGTGCATATGCCAGCCAAGGTCAGCGGCAGCTCGTGTGACATGTACGGAGACATTGATATGAAGAAAATGAAATGATGGGATCTATCCTACGCACGTAAGATAAGAGTGGTGGAATGTTTTTAATTAAGTCATTGATGTGAAAAGAGCAGATCCAATGATGAGGGAGACTGGACATCAGAAGATTAAAAGAAAAAAGTATTGTAAAGGGGTGAGTGCATAACAGCCATAGCAGAAAAGTTAAAAATTACCAAAACAAAATGGGCCTGTCAGCAACTGGAGGAAAACCAGCGTGTGCTTCTCATTTCAGGGGAATGGAAGGGTGGGTGGAACCTTCATGGAGAGAAGGGAAAAAAATCATAAACAAATGACTAACCTGGTATTAATAAAGCCAAAGGGAAGGCTGTGTGAGGCTAGGAAAAGGTCTTAAAAGGTAGAAGCTCGGGATGCATGTAGAATACAAATAAAGCTTTTCCATAAACAAAGGAAAAGGAATTAATGACGGTCCCTTATGTGGAGATGAAGCTGTTGGTAATAGCTATAACACTAGTGCAAGAGTGGTGGGAAAAAAGAACACATGATACTATAGCGTTGGCAAATAAAGAACATGCCAGACGTGCATTGATTAAGGTTAAGATAGAGAGATCCTTTATTTAGTATTGTGTAATTTTTGTGTTGCATTACCAGTTAGAGATCAGTAGGAATGAGGAGCACACAGTAAAATATAAATGAACAATAAATCTATACTAAATAAAATAGAATAAAAATCTGTAACCTTGCCATAATAAAGAAGTATAAAATCTCTACCTTTGGCAAAATAATAAGCAAGTATAAAGTACTGTGTATTCTAGTGTAAGTAATATACAGTTGTATACATCTGTACATGTTAGCAGCATGAGCGTCTGGGACAAAGTGATTAAATAGAGCAACAGTGGACACATGTGGTTATGTATTGCACATTCTGATATTATTAAAGTTATTATTGCACAGAGACCTCTTTTTGGAGAGAAACCCTTTAAGGTGGATGAACTTTCTAAGACCAATTTTTGTTACACTATCAGATCTTTTAGGTTTTCTGGCGATAGGTGAGAGATCGACCTGTCTTCCGATGGTTTACTTCACATGGTATAAAGAAGAAAACAGAGGGAAGTTGTGACAAAGTGAGGACGTTATGAACAGCTGTTTTGTGGAACTTGTGTTTAAAATGTCCCGAAGACAGGGGAGAGGACTCACATACCGGACATCCACAGCAACACTTCAGACTACTTTGAAACCTCTGAAGACCTATTCAGATCAGAATATACAACCCTGCCATTATTAGTTTCAGTTTAACACAAAGACATTATTTGAGAGTTTAAGTAGCATAGCTGAGATTTTGTGACAATGTCTTAATGTTTTAATGTAAGTAACAAGACAATATGAATATATAAGGTGACATAAAAACTTGCAAATTGAAGGAGATCATTGTCTACAGTCATCTATAATGATTTTTCACTTCTTAACACATTCCAAGCAAGTTTTACATATATTTTTGATCCAAAGAGTACATACAAAAAGGCTGCAAACCTGTACTAGCATTAGTAGTTAATAGTTTGTGTCATCAAATGGATTTTATTGGAGTCAGACCGCACTAACAGTGGTCTCATATTGAACCATGCATTTTACATTATTATTACATTTGTACGGCATTAGGGGCGACAGTAGCTCAGTTGGTAGAGCATTGGCCTTAAGGCCAGAAGGTCGTGGGTTCAATTCCCACCTCTGCACCTTCTCCACCGACTCCCACTGATGACTGCTGTCGTTGTGTCCTTGGGCAAGACACTTAACCCCACTTTGCCCAAAGCCCCCACTGAAAGATCAAGGCTATGCTCTCACTCAGAGAGCAGCCGTCCTCCTGTGGACCCACCACCTGCAGAGGGTCAGTGAGGGGCTGGTGCTATGAGACTTGGGTGGCAGCTCTGATTGCCACCCCCCTGACCCAGAAATGGATTAAAGGGAAGAAAATGGATGGATGGATTGTACGGCATTGGCAAAATAATCCCATGGAAAACAGAAAAGTAGAGCCAGATGCTGTGATTTAGAAAACACAGCCTTCTCAGCAAGAGTCCTGAGAACTAATGGGAACAATAATGTGGGACAAATCATGTCAAAACCGAATAGCAGTGCTATACTAAAAAGCAGATAAATTATGAGATAATTTATTTTAAAAGAATCCATAATAAACCATCATTTCTATTATCACTATACTTTATCTAACCCTCCTGACTAGGGGTGGGAACCTCAGGGTACCTCACGATACGATACGATACGCGATACAAAGCTCACGATAAAGATTATATCACGATAACGATTATATCCCGATATGACCATTATCAATATATTGGTCAGAAATATACCATATGCCAATTTATGGCATAAATAAAAGAAAAATGTTAAGTGAAAAAATACACTTCATTTTATGATAAATGGAATGGAGATGCGTAATGTAGTCATATATTAAGTATTGATTAAAAAAAAAAAAATAAGAAAAAATGAACAAAATAAAATTAGATTTTTTTTTTCTTTGTTCTTTTAAATCGATACTTGGCAAATGCATATCGATAATTGATCGCGGGAAAAAGTATCGCGATATATTGTTATATCGACATATCGTCACACTCCTACTCCTGACTCCATATGTTGTTTGAATAGTTTCAAAACTAATATGCAAACTGCAATAAAATTGTAACATTATTTAATAGTAAAGTAAAGTAAGGCAATAAAGAACATAATGACACATTTCGTCTGAACAAATGTTGCATTTGTTGTCACTAATTGGTCAGTATGTGAGCCACACAAAGGGCTGGGGGTCAAAGCACCAGCCTCTGAAGCATCCCCTTTAAGCCTTCAGCAACTATTCATCAAAGTGCCGTGTGTTCACTTCCTGGGTTCTTTTAAACACAGAGTATGCACCATCTCAACATTTGTTATGGACTTCACCTCAAAAATAAACCATAAAGATAAATGAAATTCTTATAGAAATTCAAGTAACTAATTAAAGATTTAAATACTGATGGGCAGCTGGTGACTGAAGGATTAATTATCTTGCTGTTCAGTAAGAAGATTTTGGGTTGAATCCCTGTCGGAAAAAGGTCTTTCTTGGTGAAGTTTGCATGCTCTTCCTGTGTCTGTGTAGGTTTCCTCTGCGTGTTCTGGTTTCCCCTACCACTAAAATCATGTCCCCTCTCTTTGGGCCTGATCTCCCCTGAAAAATAGATTCTGAAATTTCAGTGGTCCTGGCTACATAAAAGTCAATAAATAAATATAAATAAATATATATATATATATATATATATATATATATATATATATATATATATATATAATAATAGACTATAAAAAAAAACCAACAACAACATTTAAACATACTGTGAAGTATGACTGTTTTTATCAAAGCTAATTAAAAATACCATATTAACAGAACTTTACTGATCTTTCCTGGCAAAAGATCAATAATCAAAATAACTGTTAATTACAGCCCGAGTTCAAATATAAGAATGGTGATGGATGTATTTTTTTAATCCTTTCATAAATACATAAAAAGGATAACAGTGTGCACAATATGGCAAAAGAGAAACTATGTCAAACACCTACAGTATATTATATAACTTTAAAATGAAATGCATGGAAAGGTGTTACTGCAAGAGGAAGGTGGCGACAGGCACAGCTTAAGATATCGTAATCCGCTTGTACTCAGTCCCCCCAAGTGTTTGTACTGTTATTGGCTGAAATCCGCAAATCAGACAAAGCTGCACATTGTACGTAAGCTGCGGATAAACAAAGGGCATTAAGCAGTTATCAGACACTAAAACTGTGCATGCACCTCTGTTAACACAGTGAGCTATCCTGCCTTAAGTCTGCAAGCTCAAATCTGCTCTTCACATCAGTCAGCCTAATACCATCTGCTCCAAACAACCATAACTAGCCTAAACACTAATGCTCCCTATAATGACCACATCCAACTTCCTGCTGCCAAGCGCCTGATTCTGCCTGACCTCTGGCCCTTGCCCGTGAGCCTTAACCCAAAAGAATGGCCCAAAGACTCCTGAACAACAAACACCTGCTTGTTCAAAATGGAGAGGGCAGTGTTTTTAGTCGGAGTCATTAATGTCACACACACAACATGTTGATCTGCTAATCCTGCCCTTCAGAGGCCTGTGCAGCCACACACGTCTGAGGCCTGATTAGAATTGACCTGTGGAGAAGCAGACCAGGATGAGGCTCATTTTAGCGGATGTCATGGAGGTAATAGTAAAGGGAGCTGGTTTATATACAACCTGTCAGCAAAGGGGAAAAGAAATAACTTGTACAAATGGTAAATAGTTACTACATGGATAAAACAATGAGGTCAGAGAATAGTTTGGCTTATGACCGATTCAAACTAGATGATACACGCCTGTCATTATTGGTTTCAGTTGAAGACAAAGGCATATTGAAAATTATTTGAGAGTTAAAGTAGCATAGTAGCGTCTGAGTTACATTCCCTTGCTCTGATTTGCAAAATGGCTCGCGGCCTGCTTTAGGAAAACATAATTTGTAAACCGAGAGCTGAGAAATTCAAAACCACTGGTCCTTCAAAGATGGCCAAATTTTTGACTGAAATATGCATCATTGAGGCTGAGCTAACCACTGTCCAGTGCAGATGCAGGGACAGTGTCCAAAAGCCACTTACACGCCACAAGTGTCCAGTGCTCGGCACTGACTGGGTGGTGTGCAGTTAGACTAAAACACAGGGGAGAACCAGAGAGGCGCACAGGCAAACATAAATACGTACAGCCGCGGGCAGGCTGACGCCGCGTGCCTATGTGGGTGCCTGCCAGCCCAGGCTGTGGCCTGGGGCTGTGGATGCAGCGGTCAAGCACCCCACTATAGGCACCGAGTTGCAGAGTTCACCCCAGTGGAAAGTCCGCATCAGCACAGAGGAGTCTGCGGCTCAGAGATAGCGATTCAGCAGACCCCCGGCTAATGCAGCCATCACTTCCCTGGCAACCACAAGCTAAATGTATCCTCCATGCACAGCAGAAAATAACATAACTGTGGGATAGAAGGAAAAAGAGGAGAAAAGCCAGAAACTATGAGCGATACTGTACAAAGAAATAGAAAAAAAACTGTATTTGAACATGTACAATTAATGCTTGCGGGTCAATCGTAAAAATAGGGAGAAACAAATGACGATGACAAACAATGATGCACAATATTTAAGGTAAGCAAGACGAACAAACAGTCTCTTAAATAAAAAGAGCAAACCATAATGAGGAGGCGAGGGTCTCTCCACTTCAACCACCACATAGTTTCCCCTCAGAGGGATATAATTTACACAAACCCACTTTAGGTCAGGAGCCGAGCAAAGAGCCAACTCTACTTCAGCTGCCAACTGACTATTTTCAATATTTTCTACTTCATACTATTCTTAACAACACAGTGTGTTTAGTTTTTAAAACGTATTGTAAAAATACAGCAGGTATTTGAACTGTGGAGGCTTGTGTGGTGGGGTATCCCAGCAGCAGGTTGGAAATTCCATGTGACCTTTCAGAACAATAACCAAGACAGCTCACATCTTGTCAAACAAAGAGACTTTACCACTACAAAAGTCTGTATCATAAAAATACACTCTGTTTTTAAGTGCCTCAGATCATTCACAGTGTAACATCTAATATATTAGGACTAAAACATCACCCAAGGTTGCAATCATTTATGGACATTGGTCATCTGCCCCTTATGGACCAATGGCTCTATGTGTTTCTTTTTTCTTGTGTTTGAACTTTTTGATTCTCTAATCTGTGTTGGCAAATTCAACGGTTTTGTTAAGTCTTCCGAGATAACTACTGTTGTTACTTAGGGCTATACAAGAATAAATTTAATCATTTAGGAAGAAACATTTTATATATGCGACATTGCCCACATGCATGTTTATTTCTATATAGCTGTCAGTCAGTATAGAGGAGGCCAAAATACATCTTAGCCCATCAGATTTTTCCCCTCACTATGGAATTGTTATGACAACAGAGCCCCTGCACCTGCATTGCCTCTGCTCTCCCTCTGCGTCTGTGCGTCTCTATACGAGTGCTCTTGGCCTAAGGAGATTAAAAAGTTTCATCAAAATGTAATTGGTGGGAGGCAGTAGTGGCCAGGAAATAATTTGACCATTGTGTTGTTCGAGTTTGATAGAGAGAGTGGAAGAAAGGCAAGAAGAGCCCTCAGGGGGGGAACACTGGTTGGTCGGTGCTCTCTTGAAGAAACCTCTATGGGCCCTGCTGCTTTAACTTTGGGTGAATAGAACTCAGTAAGAAGCAAGCGGACGTTATTGCAGTGAGGTCAATTAGTCAGTCTGCCATTAAAAAGGTTTTTGTGGAGCACAGAGGGGGACAACAGCTGAAAAGATGGGAAAAAGTTAAAGTTGGAACAGAACAGATTTGGATATACCAAGACGTCTAGAACAAATACCCAAGAAAATGGCAACACTTGACAAATTTTATTGCTGCTAATGATTTCTTCAGGATTTGTAGATTAATGATAACGTAAATGTTTCCAGAAAGCTGACGTCAATTTAAAACTTCATACAATATTCACACACTTAACTCATTTGTGTAGCTTTTATATGTGGACTATGACATAATTCAATATGTTCATACTAGATTAAAAACATTAGTGTATAAGAGAGGCCGAATGTCATGATTTGTTTGATACAAAAGAAAACAATCTACACATTTGAATTTCTGTCTTTCAGTTTTGATAGTAATATTATTAGTATTACAATTTAAAACATGTCACGTGGTCCAAATGTTTAGCCTTTACAGAGGATTGTTACTGAAGGGATAATGGATAAGTTTGGTATACAGTTTTAATATGCTGTTTAAATAATATTGTTAAAAAAAATTTCAGAAATTACATGTCTAACAGATTGTCTACATCTTGAATTTGGTTTTGATAATTGGGTTTGGCAAAATAATTGACAAACTTCCGCCTAACTCTTTTGGTTGAATAATTTGGAAAAATAATCCGATTTTGGATAGGAAATTGTTCTTGTGAGTTTGAAATGTTTTTTATTGACTACCGCCAGAAGGAAATAATAATTCAGACATTTTTATTCTAGTGAATTTGTTTTACGTATTTGTATTATAAATTATATTGAATCTTTTTTTTTATTATTGTCATCTAATTTGAATTTTTCCTGAGTACAAAGTGTGCCATACAAATGCACTTTGATTCATTAATTGCATAATTGAACAAAATGTTTTAACACATTCACACTAGACAAACTAATCCCCATCGTCCATCAGCCGTTCATTTATGTCTCAGTTTCAGCAAAGAATAAAAGAGGTATTGTTTGAAGGCCATTAACAGGAAGTACTTTTAAGTGTCTTCTTCTCACTGCTGCATGTGGGTCGTGTTGTCTTATCTCTGCAGGTGTCTTTGTCATCACGGCCGCTGTGTCACACTGTCGTGCTTTTGATGCGTGCCTCCACAGGTTTGCCATTTGTTTGCACAGACCATTGCCAAACTATATTCATCACGACGGGTCTTTCTGACAGCTGAGCAACGTGGCCCTAATCATGCATGAGGCTCTTTACTTGTGCATTGAAGGGTTGCATAGGGGTATGACAGTATGGTTTCATTTGAACCTACTTTTAGCTCCATAGTTTTGATAACACATAAAACCGGTTTCTATCATAACTGGTTTCCCATACAGGAGAGAATTGTAAACTGGCTCTGGCTTACTCAATGTTTGCAGTGTCCTGTTTTTTTCCGAGCCATTGGGATTTTACAGCGCTGTGAATTGTACCTCTACTGTGAAAGTGAAAGAGCAGTTCTCTGACATGGGCGCTTAGAAAAAAACATGTTGGGCCAGAAGTCAAGGTGGAGAGACAGTGACACGTTGTTTTGGGCGAATATTTACAAAGCGCTCTTGTTGCCAGCAATTACACGCTGACCTGCACAGATGGCTGGCACGTTCAATGGCTCTGAAGTAAAGAAAAATACAGGTTATAGTTTTTGTGAACATCCTGGTCTGGTCTGTCCACACTCCACTGATGCTGTGACGGTGTTTCCTGCAGCTGCTCTGAGCCTGCTGTGCTTTATAAACAAACAACTAACTACTGTGCATTTGTTACACAATCAGCCTGACCACACAGCCACAATGAAAAACAACTTTTGTCGACTTTCCTCACCCATGCCGAGAACTGCAAGCACTGATTTTACAAGATATTTCATCTAAAAAGGCAACACATTATTATGATTTATGACTTCAATAAACTTAATTTATTAAGAAAAAGTACAAAGTTCATCAAGTGCAAAGTTTCAAGTGTACATACATAAATAACTCTTAATATTCATGCACGTGCACTTTTCATGACACTTAAACACACTTAGATTTTGATTAGTAGTAATTATTTCTTATTTAATTTGATATATATTCTATTTATTAATTAGACACACTTAATGTACTGTATTTATTTTTATGGTATATTATTATTTTTATTATCATTTATTGTGTTGTTGTGTCCTTTTACTCAAACTCTAACTTTTGGTATCCCCTGTGTTTCCTCTGGAGGAGACCTCTACACTGGGTGCAGATGTCGGCTGAGGCTGGTTCTTGGACCTGATGGAGGTCTGGAGCGTCGGCTTCATGTCTCCTCTGGGTCCTGTGTCGTCCCCTGTAGTTGCAGGTGGCTCTCTTGTACTGGTGCAGACAGCTCTAGATGACGCTACTTCAGCTGGTTACTCTGGCAGCTGATTATATATTTTGTCTCGGAATTACCTAATTTACACATTTTAGGTGAAAAATTTCTATAAGAAGTGCTAGCCTATCACAATTTTAATCACAAAGTTTTTCAGAAAAGTCACATTTAGATGTAATACTGGTACTGGTTAGATGCTAAACTGCATTTCGTTGCATTGTTCTGACTTTGTAATGACAATAAAGTTTAATCTAATCTTATCTAATCTATTCTATTACCAAAATCGTGCAGCGTTTTTTAGATCATCAAGAGCCTATACTGTGACTTTATGGGTTTTAAATTGTGTATATTACTCGGTTTACCCGGTGCAATACAAGCAATACAAGACTCATGGGTCCGAGTACAGTCACTTAATTTCCTCCTTCTGCACGTACTGTATTGTCTTTGCCTTAACACAAAGAAAACTAGCGGTGTACTGCAACAAATGACTGTTTACGTTGCACAAGCCAGCCGCACGCCTCACCACTTTCTCCATTAAACAAAGCGTGTAGCGTTTCTCCAACTTCAATGGCGCTGACATGTCTCCACAGTGCGGCCAGACAAATAAGACCCACATGACAAGTGACATCAGCCAGCATCCTCTGAGGCCCACCTGCCATCAGGCCAATCAGCATTCAGTGTCTCTAATAAAGTTTCCCCTTCGCTTTCGTCTTGGTTTGCGTCTCAGACAAACTCTCTGCCAGTAACCGGTCCTGGATCACTGGTTTCTATCATGGAAACGGGATCATAAAAGAGAATACAATGAGCAGACAATCCACAACGCCTGCAAATTCTATTAGAACAGAGAAAAGCCGGCTTATCCAAAAAAACTGGAGAAAATCTGGCTTTTCTCAGAATTAGATGCTGAAAATGATTGTACCACCAGCAAAAGAAAACAGAATAGGTAATTACTTATGTGAGCATATGATATCATGAAAAGAAAACTAAATGTAGACTTCAAACTATAGACACTCAATTAAGCAAGTACAAATACATTTTGAGAAATTACAGAACAGAATCACATTAACATCTCCTGTTTGATTTCTGACCCCATTTTTGTTCTTTATCATATTATCTGGGAGCTGAGCGGGCTGGTATTCTCTTTCATTTAGATTGTGACAAACTCCATACATGCAGGTGAAAACTAGTGATAGGATCAAACAGTTTTAAGAGCGAAGAAGGTTTTATTACATACTGTATAGATGTCATTTTTTGTGGTTTCAAAG